ATAGTGAAATGTTTAGGGTATTTGTCAGGGAATGAGGAGCTGCATATTTAGATCTATTCAGCATTTCAAACAAAGAATAGAGAACAAAGGGCATCTTTCTCTCTCTTCTGAATCTGCTTTTGCAAATTTGTGGCTGTCTGACCTATTTTATAGAATTTGTTGCAAGTATATGCCAGGCAGTCTCACAGCACGTTTTCTTCCTTCCTCCAAGTAGAGGATGTTTTAGTCTAGAGTTGAATGGTACTTAAGTATCGATAATGGTTAGCTTGGGACATTCTGTAGGCACACAAACAAGTACAACACTGATGAAAACACAGGTGACTTTAGACATTTTTAGTGCCTGAGAGGTTGGGCAGAGGTTTTAAGCATTACTATTTTTGATAGTAATTTAGCCACCTAAATATAAGTCTTTCTTCAGGATCATAACTCTTCAGTGGATCTCGACCTCGCTAACCTGATTAAGAACCTTACAGTAGTTAAAAACGTATTACGATTTCAGGCCATTTCACTTCACACAAATACACTTTGCTTCTCCCTTCCTTGAAAACATAAAGTCTGGTTCAGATAAAGAACTTGATTTCCTCATTTTTTTCCTGTTAACTGGTATTTATCAGTCATGAGTTACAAAATATTGTCTCCCTGGCAAGAAAAAATGCTCGTAACACAGAGTCCTCAGTGCTGGCTTACTGACTGCAAAGATTGGTTCCAGTAGGCTAATTAGTGCATCCGCTCTACCAAATACACCAAGGAAGGTGGGATCACAGAAACAAGAACAAGAAAAGCAGCAGTTTCTAACTTGGCCATTCTTACTCATGGAGAATAGCACCTGACCCTGCAAACAATGGATTTCTTTTACTGTAAAACATTACTCAATGCAGAAATTTTAAAAGTCTGGCTGTAAACAACTTTTTGACATACAAATATCCCAGTATAACTGAGTAACATTTAAATGAATTCACTATTCATTCATTAATGAAATTGTTTCATGCTCCTGCTTACAGTTAGCAATCCTTTAATATAAAGGCATGCTAAAAACTTTATGCACATCTCAGCAAAGTGAGAAGTACAGAAATAACCTTAGGAACAGCCACATAAAATGGCTTACAAATGTGCTCGTAGCAAGGCTGTGGATTATTAATAATTATTCCTAATCTTTTTTTTGGTCAGTTGTTACAGTTCTCATTCTTACCATGCATTTGCGATCATCCACCCCAGCTAAATCCTCCTCAAATTCCTTTCCTACATCAAATTCCATGATGTAGTTTCTAAAAGTGCTTAGAGTTTTAATGATCATATGATCCCCATTCTGAAGGATTTCTTTGTCAGGTTTTAGCAAGTTTGCTATTTTTCTTACAGCAACATTTACATCTGAAAAAGAAAAAGCATTATTTTAATCCAGAAAAGTCTACCGCAAAAGAGGCTTGTAGCCCTTGGGAGGACTAAAATGAACAAAGATAAATAAATATATGTCCAGATCCTTTCACGCCAGCATGCTTATCAGGAGGAAGCCCGTAAGCCTAATTCTGTTAACTTAAATAAGTCAATGTTTTGACTATTGCTTATGCCGAACCCTAAATAAATCCCACTCATATTTGACAACTAACAAGGTCATCGGTATTTCTATGGAAATGCTGGCATTTTACTTACTTCTTCATCAAATGCAAACACACAAAATTGCCTCAAGTATATTCTTGTCTTTGTAGCACACACACAACTTTTACTCTTTTTTTCAAATTATGGGTAGTTTTTCAGTGTGAAAACTGCCATTTATCTCTTTAAACTATATAGTTTAATCTCTGTAATTGCAAACTTCAAGACGGTAAAAAGTAGAGGCTGTTTAGGATAAACAATTTTGCAGTTCTTACAGTATATTCCTAAAAAAACCTCGCAAAAATGATTCATGACTGTACAAGAAAAAAAGAGATGCATGTCAAGACTAAGATAGGTTGCATTTATTGATTATTTACTAAAGAAACATGAAGGGAATCTTACCCAGTGCTTTCAGATACTCCTCAAAATTGTCATTGCTGACCATTTTCCAGTAACCATTGAAATCGGCCGGCATCCCTACTCTAGATAATTGTCAAAATCAAAGTCTTAGAACAGCGCGTTGAATCTGCACCACACAGCTCACTGCCTTTCTTTGTGGTGAGCTTGAACTCTGGTTTCTTTTATCTGATTTGCTGTGAAAGTCCTCCTAATCCGATTATTGTTGAAGTGTTGCCTTTAAATCCTTCCACAAGGCTGAACCTCTGAGATTTGTAATGACAGCAGGATGACTTGATTTAAATGGAATGAAACATTCACCTTCCATATAACTTCTGTGAGGATACTGATTATCCGGTGATCCATTTTAACCATATTACACTTCATTTTTCATGCTACTCAGAAATAAGATCTTTTAAGTGACTTTAGTTTAAGATACTAGCCAAGGCTATACAAGTGCTTATCTTGTGTGTTTTTGAGGCGAATCCTGCTTCCTTGAATATTTTCAAGCTTTATGCCTTACTTTATGCCTTCATCTTTTCAGAAGAAAAATCATACAGACACTTTCAGTGAAGGAATTTGTATCTGGCATTACTTTAACTTGTCCCACAAGCCCCTTAATGCTGGAGTACTAACCACTGGAAGCTGACTAGTTGGTCAGCTGATGGCCCAGAAAAGGCTATTCCGGTGGAACATTGCTTCTTGTATTAAGAAGCAATGGTTGATTCTGTATATTGATAAATGATACATGCTTATTGAATGTGTGCACATGATAAGAAGCATAACCTAACATCTTATCTGATATGAGTCTGCACCAGTGTCCTGTACCCCTGCTTTAGTCCTGTGGAGCTCCTACACAGAAGATGTGCTGATATTTTTATTTTGCAGTGGGAACACTTCTAGATTTGAATTCACATGCAAGTGCTGCTTGCAAGTAGCAAACTTCTTCCCTCCCACTTTCTTTTGATTCTTCTTGTGTAGGATATCCTGCTGCAGAGAGTGGAAATAAAGACTAAATTGCACATCTTGGCAGATATAAATATTGTGCATACCAAAATATTAGCTATACTGAATCTTGTAGCATACTTTAATATTCATATATCACTTTGCATTACAACTTCATTTCAGACCTACTGAGTTAGAAAAGAAATCATCAGCTATAAAACGTAGTATCTTGTTCTTGCTGCCTGTGAAGAAGCTGAATTTTATACAACGCCACAAAGAATGGACCACTTGAGTAATCAAATTTCCTCAAGAGAGAGCACGCTTCTTCCCCTACATCTTTTCAATTCACTTTCAGAATGCGTAAATACTTACCAACCTTAAATATTTGTTTTAGGTGCTGAAATTAGAAGGCTAGTATCCTCATCTAGCCAATGAAAGAGAAGGGGGGGCTCCTCCAGATGAAACAGGATGTGAGCTCAACTCAAACACTCTAAATTGCCTTATTAAACAATGTCCCTCTCACAAATAAGATGCCTAAAATAAAGTTCTGTAAAGCCCCCTTATTTCCACCCTCATCCAGCATAAAGCCACACTATGGAAGCAGAGTTCCTTATTTCAAAGGGACAACACCAGAGTGGCTGTACTGAATTAGACCAAAGTAGTCCCATACCCCGTCTGTAGTAGCAGAAGGGTACTGCGATACTTCCAAACATTCCAGATTTCAGTGATTTGAGACTCCGGGACGTTCTGAGCCAGATGTGTGTTTCTTATGTTTAAAAAGCATTTATGTTTCAGTGATATTGTAAAAAGTGTAAAACTCCAGCGTTCATTCAGTGAGAAAAGGTAGCAGTAAGTTGCTTTCAGATATGTCAGTAGCCATTTATTCCAAATTAAGTCTGTTTTGATACTGGCTCTTCTGCTATACTAGATTCTACGCAGTGTTGTTTAGGAATAAAAATGAAAGCATTTTTCAGGCCTATGGTCAGTTTTTTGGCTGTTCCTTCCTTTTCCTCTTTTCTGAGTATAAGAAAATTAGAGCTATTCCAGTGTTTTTCTAGCAACCTTCCAGAAGTTACTATTATTTATGAGATAGTTATCCCACTGCTATTCTTTGGGGGTGTCTTCTATGAAAAGTGAGCTAGACTGAAATCAGCAAAGCAGGCAAGCAGAACATAGAATACATTTGTCTAGCTAACATTAGACTCAACTATTGTGTGAGCGTCTTACCTGTTTCCGTTTATTTTCCGTTCTTGAAATGCTACGGTTCAAGTTCTTTGCTGCTATATCACAGTAATTCTCTATCTTGGTACAAAAACTATATCCTCTATTTGATTTGTCCACCAAACCAGAGGACAATGCTGAATTAGTAACCTACTTTATAAACAGATGTACCTAGACCAAGTAACATTTCTCAAAAAAAAAAATTATTGAAATTGCAGATCTTTATATTCAGAGTGAAGAATATGCTTTTTGACTGGTACTAGCTGTTCATACCACACTGAGAAAGTAAGTTCTCTTTCAAAAAAGACAACACGATAATTTCTATGTTGTACATGACCCAAATTAGATTTATCTAACTGGTCTAAGAAAGACTGGACACATTTTACTATTTCTTATGGTCTTTTTTTAGGGGTTGGGTTTTTTTGTTTTGGTTGTGTTGTTTTTCAAAGGGTTTGGAATTTTTTTTTTTTATCTTTTTCATTGCTAGACTTCAAAAGCAGCAAGAAATTACTAAGATTAATCCATCCATGAAGAAAAGCAAGGAACAGAATAATCAACCACATTTTCAAAGATTCTCCTCATGATGTGACCAGCAGTACCAGTAGCATTTTTGCTGTTGACAAAGGGGGTTTATGTCCCAGATCCTCTTGGATATGTCATCTGCTGCAAGAATTTGGCAATTACTTACTCTTGTAGAAGACTGACTGGATCAAAGAAACAAAGAAATGGATGCAATTGGAGGAGGATTGTTTGTCCATTCTTTTATAATTGGGAGGATTAAAATTGACATGAAGCCTGCATGTATTTTTCAGCACTTGCATGAAACAAGACTTTATTTCCATCTCCTGTACAAACTGCCAAAACATAAACTTGCATCGTACTTAACCTTCAGAAACAAAATTTATTCAAGGTCACAAAAAGTCAAAGAGTAGCAATAATATATACATTTTTAAGCAAAGGTTAGCGTTCATTTTATTTTGCTGCTGCAGAACAGTAAGGCATCTTCATGCTAAACTTGACTATAGGATTAAAGATTACAAAATCAGGAAATTACTATGTTTGGCCCTTAAGTATTACTGGAGATTTTAATATTTATTTTTAAAATCTTATTTCTTCTATTTTCACAAGGAAGCAGTTGTTTACATATTTTAAGATACTCACCTGAGTATCCCAATTTGATTAAGCATTACCACATACAAAAAGATTACTCTAAAACATCACGTGAATTCAAAGAATTTTTGGCTGATGTTCTTTTCCCTATCTTTCTCAAGAAGTTTACATGAAAAAATGCCACCTCTGTCCATTTTATAGGCTACACTCATCAGTCATTTAGCAGGTTTACTCTTGTGTTATGCAACGTTAGCGGTTGAAGCAAGTCACCTTCATTCTTCTGCTCACTTTCTTCTGTGTAGATATTATGGTGTGTAATATAGGAAATGACAGAATCCGGTACAAGATATTTTACGCTTAAACCTCTGCACAAGGCATTGCGTATCTGTGTTGCACTGATTTCATTCTGAATCCATTCTTTCACTAGAAAGATATTGTGCTGAAATTTAGTTAAAAGGTCTGATTCACTGATATACTGACCAGGATCTGAGCCAGCGCGGCTAATACACACCAAACCAAACTTTTCTACTATTTCTTTGATGTGCTCTTCCTTCCAGAGATTGGGTGTCTTGAATGTCTGTAGAATATCAGCTCCACAGAGCAGCTTTAATTCTGGTAGAACTGGGAAGAAAAAAAAGAAATGAGAGATTTCTGTACTTACTCATTTTCCAAGGAAAATTATCCTTAAAAGTTGTTCTTACCAACATTCTTTTACAGTTTACTTTTACCTCCTTTTTTCTTTTCAAAAGGTGGCAAAAAAAATTCAGCTTGGATTTTAGATACCTAGTCACAATTATATGCTTTTTCAAGCTCTGTGTACCTACTTTTTCATCCCTCACAACATATCAAATATTACCCTCATAACGTTAAAGGAGAATAATTTCTCCACTCAAGCAAGCCACAGGGGGAAGAAGCAGAGATTAGCATGAATTCAGCACAAGACCAGATCAGATAAAAGGCCGTATGTGGGGATAAACATTCATTCCACTTGGTACTCAGTTTGGGCTTGACCTTGTATTGAAGTTAATGGAAAAACTGGTGAATGATCATGTACTGAATAGACACATCTCCACAGTCATTAGCGACTGCATGAGTGCAGTGAGGGATGATGAACTCTCATAGCTCTGTTTTTTCTAGAATGTTTGGCGTACTGTTACAGAGATATATTTCCTCCAGAAAATTGTTGGAAGCTAACAAATACTCTCATGTGAACTGATGAAGCCAGGCTTTTAGCTTTATCTTGTCATCCTTGTTTCCTAAATAAGGACAAACTGTTAATATTGAGAGGCACTTATAATATTGGACTTTACTGTTCAGAATCACACAAAACTACAAAGTGCAATAACTGAGTTTTAAGGCTATTGCCCTTATTTTATCCTGCTTCATGTCTACAGCTACAGTAATATGACCTTCATTGCATATTTACCAGGAAAAAGGAAGTAAACTGAAGATAAACTAGCACTGCTGTAAGATCACTCCATCTTTAGCCTACATCAATGTTTTATTGTTAAAATTTAAAAGATTTTTGGACATTTGTGCATACTTACTATAAAATTAAACACAACATGCTGAAAGGTATATTTAACAAACACATTAGTATGTTTGCAAAGTAAAGTACTTAGTTCACAAACTGAGTTTTATAGAAGGTACTAGTGAAGAGTAAAAAGCATTAAGGGCATAAATGTTTTTCTGGTGTACCTACAGTACTTTCTTATACTCAGAACAGAGGTGAAAAAGTCTGAGCTATCCAGAGACTCCAGATCTCCAGCTTCCAGGGTATTATAAAAGGTAAAGGCTACCACAGTAGTTGAGAATAACCACTCTTTGGGAAGCAGCTAGTTTTAGCCGTCTCTGATATTTACAACTTGGACACTGAAAAATAGGGAAAAATGGGCTCAGTAGCTTTTTCTGTTTCACCTTGGTCCTGAATGGAAAGCATCAATGAGTTACTCTAGGTTTAATAAAACTGGAATCATTTGTCTATACCTGTCCTCAGTGAGCCTTTTATTTGCAATGCATATTGAAATGACTTGATTATACTGTATGTGGAACAAAATCATAAGGGTCAGGTCCATGCAAAGAAATCCTACGGTTTAGCAGACATACATTTAGTAAGAAATAGCATGTTTTAAATCAACCATCAAACTGATCTTTGTGAAAGCTTCCATTAGATGACTGAGCCTTTTGCAAACTTTACAGAAATCTTTAATTCAACAGATCTCATTGATGCCTCCTTGATTTTGTTGGTTTTTTTGGGGGAGGGTGGAGAAGGTTGAGTCACAGTTGCCTACCGTTAAAAAGCTAGCACTGACCATCATTTATTTATGAAAAAGGGGAGGAACTACAGTCTTCTCCGGAGTTCTCAGTAGCAGCTCTTGATCTTTTCCCACGCTCCACTCCACAGCATGCTAGTGACCAAAGGAAGTGGGGAGAAACTGTTCCACTCCTTAGTGGGCCATACGTTTAATAGATCCAAGTCCATATCATTGCCCAGCCAGCCAAAGTGCAGAGGGCAGAAAAGGTAAGTAACAACTGTATGCTGTACTTTCCCTATTCACACCAACAGACCGGTCTTTGGGGACAGCTGCCAGGTAGTAGAGTACAAAAATACAATCCAGCCACTATATTCTAGACAGGGAAACCTATTGCTTGCCAGTCCTCCTTCCAAATCAGTTTTTGCCTTTTGTTCATGGCTTCAGAGAAAAAGTGTGGACTAGGATGACTGATCTATTCTAAACTAAGAAACCTTACAGGGAAAAAAGACTAGTTTGCACATTTGTTTTCATATTTTATTTTACATAAAATGCAATAAAGCTTGAAATAACCGAATAAAATAATAAAACAGAATTTTATACAATGGAAAATAAATAGTCTTAACTACTTTCACAACAATTTTTCTGGATGGTGTAAAGAGAAAAATCTGGATTGTCACTTGCCAACAATCACTAACCCCATACCAGACACAAAATTCAACTGCAGTCCAAATGCCTTATGAATTTTTTTCCCTACCATCTATAAAGATTTAATAACTTATCCTTTGGAAACCTTTGTGTAACCATGAAAAATTTAAATGTATTATTCATGTCCAAGTAGTGCTGCAAGCATTATAGGAAAAATGTAAAGTATCAGAAATCCAGCAGTATCCTAGAAAGTCCCAGAGCTAAGGAATATAAAATAGGAAATCCAAAGCTAACTGTTTCCAGAACATGCCCTGCTTTTACTGTCAACAAAAGCTTTTTTATCCAAATATGCAATAAGCATCAATGCAGCAGCATCATCATTGGTGTGGTATCTATGTACTTTGTTCACTAGCTAACATTAGAATCAATTACAAGTACTCCGTATGCTTTTCAATGTTATTTATTAATATACGCTATGCTTTGCAGAATCAACAGGGCTGCAACTTCCATCTCTGACAAAGCTTCAGGAGATGCTTATAAAACTAAGAATTAATACAGTAACCCTCAAAAGAAGTCTCCTGTCTGTGTGGGAGTTACTACAACGTAACTGCATCAGCAGTCACGCTGGCGTTTGGAATGGCTTGTTTTTGGCAGGCGGTTCCAACCCTCACAATTTATCAGTTACTATGTTCTACTTTCCCACCAATTAGTCTAATCTGGTAAAGGTGTATTGTTTTCAGTGCTAAACAAAGCCTGTTTACAGTTATGAACCAACCTGTGTGCTGGGAAGAAAGAGAATCCTCCGGAGGTCTTTGTATGGGCCGCTTGTTTGTCATGAATTCCTTCCTGGACTGGAACGATCTGAGTGATTCATTGTAATGGTGCCTGCGTTTAAAATAAAGCTTCTGTGTGAAGTAATCCTCTCAGAGGTGCGCAAAGGGATTGCCTGGTGCTTTCAGCTTCAGGAACACAGTCTGCTTTTATGCACTTTGAGTTTTAATACAATTTGTTAGGATTTCACCATATTCATTCTATTAGAAGATTAGTATCAATGTAGTTAACACTTTGCACAACTCACAAGCAATCTGTGTAACAACAATCTGGTTTTTGATTCCCTTTTGAAACGCTACCATTATGACAATGTTGGTAGCAACATTACATTTAAACGTTTACATTACATTGTGGAGGTTTTTGCTTGAAACAGGATTAAACCACACTTCAGTCACACTTAATTTCTTGATTAAATGCAACCCCTCAGACATGATGATGTTTCTGTAACGTGTGCTCTTTAAAGAGGTTTTCAGAAGGAGAGATTCTTGTTCTCTCTCATCCTTCCCTCCCCAAAAACGTATTCCTTGAGTTTTCCCCATTATCTTTTTCCCTTTCCTTTTAATTAAAGGAATTCAAATCCTGAGAAATACACAAATTTCCTCAAAATACACAATTCTTGTAAGATTTTAGACAGCCAGCATGCTTCTGATTTTACTGAGTTCAGATCCCTGAAGACAGGCAAGGATCCTTTTGTCAGTTTTTCTAGTTTTATATTACTTTCTTCTTTTGCTGCTCCTGATCACTGTTGCTCCACTCTAATACTGGTGCTGCTACCACAATCTGTCGATAAGGGGCCAGGGCCCATTCTTTGACCGCGAGGGCACGTGGCCATGTTAGATCCATACAGCTAAGCTCTCTTCCTTCCAAACCAGCATAGTCTTGCCTATTTAGAGCAGTCCCTGACTTACACCACCATCTTGATCCATGTTTGGGCATTGTTTGAGAGTATTAATTGACCCCAGTCAAAACTGTTTCAGGAAGCATGCTCACAGTTAAACAGGGCAGGTAGTCACAGACAAGTACTCAAGCCCATGTCCTGTCTCTATCTAGTACAGATAGAGCCACAGTGACAGGTCTTATATAGCAGTATCAAAGCAAAGATTGTAAGTTACAAAGTAAAGCTCTGCCTTCAACTCAGTACAAATGCAATGTGTATACAAAGCCATAAATAACCCTTTGAATGTCTGGCCTAAGGAATGAATTTACAGTTTAGTGACTGAAATGTACACTCTCCAAATTACACAAATACTTGGAGCTACAGTAAGTGGCACTGGTGCCCAGAATATACACCGAGACAGTTAACCTCCAGGCATTTTTGATGCTCAGCCATCAGCTAAGGAAACTGCGTAGAGAAGGGGTGAGGGACATACAGCAGTAGAGAATAGGTAGCAGTGGCTTGGCCTGGGCCTTGCTCTGTTTATATTTTTAATCCTGCCTTGTGGTAAGCAGGCTGATGCTATGTATAGTCAAGTGCACTAACTTCACGTCATAGACTGACGTTCTTGGGCCTTGATTCAAGAGTAAGAATTCTTGGCAAAGAGCTCACTGCAGGACTAATGTTACAAGCACTGGAAAATCTTAACTGACAAAAGGTCTGTTCAGCAGTCATTTTAAGTGCTGGGAGGATCTGAGTTATTTTAAAGAGACATCAAAATGGACAAACCAATCTGTCAGTTTTTCAACTGTTTCCTGAACTACGTATGAAGCTTCTAATAACTATATTATTATGTCTCATAAGCACAATTCAGCAAAACTTGTTGGATAAGACAGATATTTTCCAATTCTAAATTAATTTCTAGTGTATCTGCACTGCAATCAAATCTAGGTTACATGAAGGATGAATGTAGTTCTTTGCTTACTGACAACATTGTTTTCTTGCCTAGAAAGAATTTTCAGGAACACTAAGCAACTGGGAAATATCTCCATCACTTCCTCTCCTTTCTGAAAAAAGGCTTGGGATAGCCTCTAAAATTTCCATGTTCACTTAAGGTAACAGGCAACTAATGGCATTGTCATAAATGAGATACCAGCTCTGCTGCTTAAAATCCTTCTGTGTCATAACAATTTGGGAGCTTCAGCAAAATCTACAGATTTTGATGGAATATGACAATTTCATCACATACAGGTGAAACAAGTATTGTAGGAAAAAGCCATTCATTTGTCTCTTCACAGGACACAATGTTCTAACACAGTTAAGTGTACAATTCAAAATACTGATATGAGGAGACATATATGCACAATAATGCTTGGGCCTTTGCCTTGCAATAGCAAAATCTCTTTCTGTTGGTCCTGAAATTTCCTAATTGAGGGGGCTTACAGTGAAGGCAGCAATCAGCTTTTAGCATCTCAACTCGGGGAAGAGTCTATAGAGTAGATCTTCAATAGTTGTGAATTAGCGCAGATCCACAGTGAACCATTGCCTATTTACAGTAGGTAAGGATCTAGCTCTAATGCCATCTCTTCTTTAAGTGTGGCAGTTAAAATACAACTGAAATAGCTACATATGCCATTTCATTAGAATGGTGCTTCCCCATTCAAGGGACGGGGTTCAACACTAGATTATGATACTGGTTCAGCTCATTAGTACAGGTCATCGTTTGAAAAAAATTGTTCCTATTGCTCTTGCTTTAAGCTCACTTTTTTTCCTTAATAGACATACATTCTACCATTTTGGACTTCATTTATAAAACTAGAGGTTCGCTTTCTAGGCCGACAGGAAGTTTGGCTGTTCATACTACACTGATATTACTTTCTCTGAAGAAAAAGATATAGGTTTTATTTATAATACCTCATATCCTGAAGGACTCTAAAGTGTATTTAGAATTTACAAACCCAGTCTCACAAGTAGCACTCACCGCACCTGGGAGCTGTGCAAGATCAAAGCCTGTGTAAATAGGATCACCTAATCTGTAAGATTTGTGGCTGCTTCTCTGGAGGAAAACAGCTTTACCAAACTAAGCTTTGGGAGAGGAATCCCATACCCAACTAATTCTTCAGCACAGACCTTCGGGTGATTTCTCACACTGGAACATGCCAATGCGATCCCATAAAAGAACAGAGAAGTGTTCTGCAAAGACAGGGTAGCATTGCCTAGCCCTAGAGGAGGCAAAGGAACAGAGCAGCAGGATGGCAATGTCCACTCACTGAAACAAAGAAAAGCAGTAGTAAAAGGCTGTAGTAGTTTTGTAAGCAAAGTATGTACGGTAACGTCTATTTTCTTAATGCCTTTTGCATAGGAGCTTTCTGGGCAGTTCCTGGGCAGTTCCATGTTGGAGCCTTAAGCTACACAAGCCAACTGCTTTCATTTAGAAAGTGCCCTAGAAAATGTGGGTAAGAAAGAGGAGTTATTATGCTTCTTACAGCACACTTGCTTTCTTGAATTTTCCATGAAAATACACTTTAGCAGTGTCAGCTGACTCCTTCTACAGTATCCATATTTCTAAAGAGTGCATAGCACGGGAAGTTTGTGTTTTCATACCTTGCCTCATAATGCATTTATTACTAAGACTAAGCATATAGGCAAAAGGCACATTTCAGGGTGCTTAAATCAAATTAACAGGTTCTGGACAAAGACTGGTTTTTGCCCTCTAGCGCAAAAACACAGAAAAAAATGATTTTGAATAAACCATCAGCAGTTACAGGCTTGGGTTTAACATGCCATGAGAGTTAATAAGAAATCTTTCAAAGTTGGAGTGTGAACAGATAAAACTACAGGCATAATAACGGGAGTTGAAATATCTAATCTAGAAAAGGGATACTCCTGAAGAATAGCTTTGTTTGTAAACTTTCATATTTTCCGATTAATATCTCTGTATTATCTACTCAGAGACTTAACATGAGAACAAAGAATTTCACCATGTAACTCTTCCAATGATTACCATTATACAGGGCCCATCTTGGCAAAAAAGCTCTCCACATGGCATCTAATGCCTTAAACGGTAAAAATGCTGTACTGTAGAGTATCGCATATGTTTGGGGAAAGCCTGTCTGCTTTGCACTAGGAGATGAAAGACGCCAGGTGGGGGATTCTGATTAGATAGCATTTCTAAAGAAAAGTGACAGGAATTTTCATTGTCTACAGATCTAATATTTTATCTCATAGCAGAGGATGCCATGAACAGACATGTTCTGCTTTGCTGGGTTTTTTACATGAATCAGTTCTGTACATTGATCTTGTAGCCCGACAGATTTCTAGCAATCACTAATTTCATAAATAATAATAATAAAAATCATGTAATTACCTTAATACTTTCACTGTCTCTGTCCATGTCTCTTGCTCACTCTCCCATGGATCAACTCGAATCCAGTCAGATGTCTCCAGTGCAAGTTTAGCCATTGCTATCCGGTGCTTGGCTGAAACTAAGCCTTTCTTTCTATAGTCATCATTGACAGGAGACATTATGCCTTCAATCACCTGATACCTTCCTGTGTAAACAAAAAAGAAAAAAAAAAATCATCTTCACAGCACCTTGAAAAATTAGGGTGGAACAGACCTCTGAAGATCATCTAGTTCAACCTCCTGCTCAAAGCTTGATTAACTCCAAAGTTATAGAAGGCCATGAACAATCTAATCTATGTATTATTTTTAATAATAAGGAAACGGTAATTTAACAAATTGAAAAGCCACCTTCCTGTTCTGTGAACCCTTACTATCAACATATTTATCCTAACAGATAATTCAGAAAGGAAAGCTGGATGAACATACAATTTTCAAGCAAGTAGAAATATATTTAAATTTATGATGCAAACTATAAGAATTGCTAGATATAATGAATTTTTTGTTCTAATAATTGTTTCATACAGCTTTTAGATAGCCAGAATAATGAACATCTTAACTGACCACTGCTTGTTCTTAAGCATCTGATGCTTGCTATTTATCACAATCATTGTGCCTTCTCATTGTGTTAAAGAATTATAACATATTACTGGGACTGTGATTAATGTGAATCAGGCAGATAGGAAGAGTCAAGAACAAAGGTGTGGCTAATGTAGTTTAAAATGAGACTTAAAACATTATGGCCCAAACAACAGCTTAGCAATCATAAAACTCCCTTTCTAGCTGGCTGATCATGATAATTAAATGTGAAAATATGCCCATATTTTTCTATTTCTGTAATGTAGTCATTAACACAACAAGCTCTTTGTTAGACTTTGAAGTTCTGGCTCCCAATCAGGGAACAGACATACATAAAAACGTAACTATCCTTTGAATAAATCAACAGAGAAATAAAGCACTGGTATGAGTTATGTCCTTCAAAAAGACAGAAATTGAGAGCTGAGAAAGGGTGTTTCAAAGGAAAAAAAAGAAATGAAACAGAAAATGATTTTTAATGTAACACGTGCATTTTATATAGCTATGATAAATATGATACTGGAGGGGGAAAACATCCTCTTTTTTTCTAATTCAGTCAATTTGACAAAGAAATTCTCACAGACTGGTGCAAGTTTTCTCTACTGCTTTGGAATGAAAATGATACTCATTGGCTCATAACTAATCTCCGATACTGGAACATGACTCCAAAATCACCATTAAAATCCACTGGGATTTACAAGCCTGTCTTCTGTGAAAGCTTCAGTCCAAAATAGCCTCTATTTTAAAACATTCTCAGAATAGGCCAAACAGTCAATAGAGCAAGATAAAATATTCCAGGAACACGCAAAGATGTGCATATATTTAAGTCCATCTCTTGATCTGAAATTGAAAATAACAGTTTCAACAGAAGAATATTTTTCTTCCTCTAAGGCTCAAGAAACTCAGTTCTTCAAGGCCTAGATGTCTGCGTACATTTTGGGGCGGGGGGGGGGGAGAGAAACTTTGGAAGACTTAAATACATTTATTTTGTACATGTTTGTAGGCCTCTTGTCTAAACTTTACAAGATTTTTGCTTTCTCTTCCCATTTTTTCATTCGCTTTACGTGAACTTGTTATCTTTGTTTTTCTAAAAAGAGTAATTTTACTCTGCTTTTGGATTGTTTAGTTTTTTTTTGTCTTATGTGGTTAAGTTTTTCTGTTGAATGGATATAGGACAACATTTTTTGAAGGTGGGCTACAAAAGTATATGTAAAAATCCTTCAGGCCATTAAGCAGCTTTGTTTTGCAAAGTGTACCTGTCAGTAGCAGCAAAAAAATTTCCCTGTTACTAATTTAAATTCTCTAAGAACTACTTAGGATAACTAGTCATAAAACTAAATATAACAACAGTTATAAAACCAAAAATATCCTTCAAACATTATTAAGGAAAACAGGTGTATAATATTCTATTACGAAATCACTGTAAGTTGTCACAAACACTTAACATAAATTGTAATGCTGAATTAGTTTAGTAATACAAAGACAATTTTTCAAGTACTAATTTCCTATCAAATTGTAGTGTATTTCTTTGGGACTTTTAAAGACATAATTACTTCTAGTAGTAAGTCACGGATTTATTATTAGAAACTTTGAGGGAAATAATCCACTACACAAAAAGTAAAAAATAAAATAAATATTTCCATATATTTGACTCCACACTTCTCATCCTCTCCTTAGCATCAGAGGAGAATCTACAGCAGACGGCGAGGCTCTGCAGCTGTATGGTGTTATTCTACCTGGTGAGCAGGAACGAGCCCATTGCTTTTCTCCCTTGCGTTCTCTCCAGAGCAGGCTGGAATAGGGCTTTGTGTCTGAGTGCTGCTTTATTTTACTCCTCTTCCAAGATGCTGCTAACTCCTGTGATTGCCTCATGCAATTTTGTTACTTTTTCCAGCAGTCACCCCTTATATTGCTTTGTCTTTCTGTCATCTTTTAAGCTTAAGATTCATCTCTCAGGTCAGTCTTTTCTTTGGATTTTATTAAAGTTTGTCCTATATTCTAAAAATAAGTTATTAAGATATACTATGAGATAGTACTGTTTCAGCATAAAAACAAAGTCTCTAGGAACGTAACTCACTGCTGAACAGTACCTACAAACAGAAGCCTCTCTCTCACTCCTGTGACAATTGAGAATTAGACCAATCAGTTTATTCAACCTGATTTTTTATACCAAAGTAACTACCCCAAATAGTATCTTCCGTATTAGAATTTAAATTTGGAGCATAAACATTTACTACAGATATGTAATGACATTACGAAAAGATGTACATTTCAAGTTTGCTATGCGGAAAATTTACTTCCATTGAGATGGTTTCATATGACTGAAAACAGCAGATGAGTCAGCATATTTATTTTAATGCAGTTTAGTACTTTCCTGTTAGCTTTAAAAATGTCACTGATGTAGGCTTACATAAAACTATTACAGATTGTATTCCAATCTCATATCTGGATTACAATGAAACACCTTATTATGCAGTATTCAGCTTTCCACAACTACATTTTATAACACAAAACCAGAGTTAGACTTGCTGGTAACTTGTATGACATTAATTAAACATGATACCAACTCAACGCCTAGGAAGATGCACGTTTTCCCTTCCTGTAGATATGGATGTTAGTTTAAACGCTCTATAGCTGTCAGCCACAAAAACATCTTTTCTTAAGCAGGACAACTGCTTTTTACTCATTGCCCATCCGAGATTTCTGTCCTTTGCATCCCAAATGTGTAAGCACGAGCCAAAGCAAATGCCCTGGGCTTTATGTTTCTTTCTGGAGACTGCCTCAGTTTCCCCCTCAGCACTGGACTAACGTTATGTGGACGCTGCCCAGCAGCGCAGTGGGCCTGACTCAGCCGGAGCGGCCAAGGAACAGCTGCTCCTGGGTCACTCCGGCATGCAGCGCGCCTGCCGGCAGCACACGCAGAGGCCCAGTGCAACCTGCGCCTGCCCGCGGCCTCTCCGACATCGCTGTGCAGCAGTACAAACAATCGCAGGACACAGCACTGCAAATTTTTGGTCTCGGTTTTGGAAGGTTTGCCCGGGAAGCAGCCTTTTCTCTACCTCGTTAAGCCTGTTCACAGGGCATGAGGTTACCTGCATGTATAAATATTAATAAAATGAGGCTGATAAGAAACGTAAATTTTACTGCATAGTACGTACACAACATCAAATATATAAACACAGAAAAATCTCTTTGCTGAAGAGTCAGTCCTCTTGTGTTACCAAAATGGCAACTGTATGAAAACACATAATAAAATGATAAACACTCCCTATCAGAAGTGAAGGACAAAATATCCACTAGAAAATAGTTACAATCAGTCTCATGTTTAAACCATCTAAGAGGCATGCAGCAGCTTATCTTAAAATAAATTTTCATTTCTTCACTGAAACAACTACTGACACACTTGCTTTTCAGCATGTGGTTAGTTAATTATATTATTTAATTTCTCTTACCAACTCTCTATGTGTGACTACACATACATAAAAATGACATAAAAAATTCTGTGTTAAAGTAATAGTAATGGTTTGCCTTGCACCACAAAAAATAAGCAGTATTCCTCACAGAACTCTCAAACTATTAGTGTTAGGAAAATATACACAATCATATTTCAGTGATATATTTAAACCAAAATGTTAATCTTATTTACAGGTTATATTTAAGTGGGGGTCGGGGAGAAGGGAGTTATCTAACATCTTTGTTCAGATGCCAGGGCAGGGGGGAATTAAAAACAAACAAACAAAAAACCCACACAACACCTAGATACAAGTAACCCCAAATATTTGAGTTATTCAAAAGTATTTACAGATAAAATATCAAAAGGATACCAAACCTATGCTAACTTCCTGTGACATGTAGTGATTGCCAAGCATGAAAAAGGAAAAGAAAAATAGGCAAGACTTTTTTGCTTTATGTTCAGTCACCTTCTGTGTGAAGAACTCAACAGAAAGAAAAATCAAAGGTGTAAACAATTCAGAGATTATTACATTGAAAGTCAAAATAAACCACAAGTGCATCAGAGTAGTAATAGACAATCCTTTGGGATATGTCTTCACAGGACGGATGGCTTTACCTTCAGCACTTCACAGAGTACTTGAGAGAGGCATTCAGTGAAATAGATGAGGTGTGCAGAGATTGTAGTGACAGGTGCCATATAAGTACCTAGACAAACATAAATCACATCCGTCTGGTTGAGTGAACTACAGGGCCTGAAGATGCAGATTTACCTCTGTAGTCAGCCAGCCATTCTAAAATACACTGTGGCTTCAAAAACTTGCCTTCAACAGCCGAATAACCGAGCATGCACAATGATCAGTACTCAAATAAATGCCACACATAAAGTCTGTAATAAATGTTACATATCAAGACCTCAAAATACCATTGTGCTTATACAGAGTTCATTGGATTTTGACAAAAGCAAGGAAAGACAGTATCCCGAGAGCTGTGAAAATTAGTATTTCCTCCAGAAAGGAAGGATAAAACCACCATTTTAGGAGTAACAATATGAATAATACAGTATAGTAGCTCTACTCATAGGACAGCCTATTCTGAAATTCTCTTGTTCATGCTGACTTTTGTGAGGAACGGTAACAGGGCTGAGAAACAACGGTTCTCCTTAGAGATACTCCAGATGGCTGGGATTCCAAAGCCAAGTACAGGGCATAACCCAAACACCAATGCAAGCAGGGGACGCCCATCCCTTTATTTCAGCGGGTTTTACATAAAGACAAAAAACTTGTAGAACGGAAAGACAACTATTATTTTTCCCCTTAGAAAAGCATTCAGAAAAAGATTAGGAGCTAACCTGTATGCACCAATAACAGTATTCAGAGAAATGAGTTTTATAAAACAGAATGATTTTCTTTAGGGACGTGCTATATCTTGAACTGCCTTAAGATCTGTATTTTAGCTGCTTTGATTTGCACATCGGCCTGCATATGAACCAACTGCAAAGTATGCTCTGTAGCTTTAAATCTTTCTGGATGCTAAGGCACAGATGCATCCCTCTTCATGCACCTTTCAAGGATAGAGCCTAGCACAATCAATCAAATACTGGTCTACTTAAGCAAGTGCTGCTGTATATCTTGTAATGCAAACCAAGGATTTGTTTCCTTCTCATTTTTTAGTTCAGCTAATTCTAACTAACGTGTGTCAATATTTATTGTATAAGCAATGAGTAACTACTGCAGGTCGGATCCTATTCCAATCACATATCTGGGTTGCTACACACACCACCCAGACAGTGGGATCAAAGCTGGGGGCGGGGGGGTTGTATATTTTTACAATTGCAGTTATCAAAATTGCTGCAGGAAAACAAATTGAAGTCTGTGCATTTATGCTGACTTGCTGCTGTTATGATCTGATCCTATCCTTGCTGCTGTTATGATCTGATCCTATCCTTTTCTTGAAAATATCAGTACATTTCAGTCAGATGCAGCCCCTGAGCAGCATGCCCCTCTAAATTCCTAAGTCTGGTTAGTGACTCCTTGGACTTCTCAGCTGCGGATGCTGCATCTGACACAACCAATGCCTCATATTTTTCCTACACTTTCATAAGCTAGTAACCCTTTTTCCTTCAACTCCCATTTCTATCTATGTCTTGTCATGGATACAAACATCTCATCCTTCATTCCACTTCCTTTGCCCAGTATCTCTTCTATCTTGTCTGTAAACTTTGTAATATTATTATCCTCTACTGGCAACACCTGAGAAACAAGGTTCTAAATATTTAAATAGGTTGATTCTAGTACTGCGTTTTTGACTATACGGTCAAATATGCGGAATGTAGTCGTAGAGAGAAATATGAATGTCTGACATCAGGTATTAACGGACCGTGAGGAAGCATTGGGCACAGTCAGTACAAGTTTCAAGAAACGCTTTTAAAACAAGAGACTGAATTAGAGAAGTAAAATTCTAAGTATATGTGAGGTTGTGGAAAAACTCATATATGAGTAGAGTCAAGTTCAGACAAAGAGAAACATTATAGTTATTCAGTCATATGTAGACATGTCTCTTGTATTTAGAAGGGGGCTTTACAAGATTTGTCAACAGATATTAGCAGAAAAAGGATGAATTACTTGATGTGTGCCACTGAAATCGCAAATACTGCGTAAACATATAGAAAAACTCAATGAAATGCCCTATTTAAAATAGGAACGCATGAAAAATAAGATTAGGTGTTAATCTGAAACTGAAACAATGTGCAAAAAGCTGGCAGAAAGAATTACTGGAGATGTCAGTCAGGATATGTATCGGGGTAGTCATGGCATTCATAACATTAAAACTTGATCGTGAAGACAACTGCAGTCAAGCTATTACACAACAGGTATATTCTGCCTGATCTGGATTGAGCAGAAATACTGAAGTAGCACCAGAAGTAAGAAATTCTCACAGCCTAGAAAACATCACCCCTCACTCTAGTTACTTTTCCACGCATTCACTGTGCGTGTTAGCTCCAGGATGATGCCCATGGTTGTGACTCAGCAGGGAATCAGTACTGAACATGGCAGGCCACTTTAACAAACAAGCCTTTGTGGTGTATAACCGCTGTCCTCCAGACCCACTATCCGCTTCCGGTCTGCCTCTGATTCTAACCATAGGACACTACAGGAGTGGAAACAGGACAAAAGTCATAAGAGAAAGACCAGTTAAGTACCTGGGTGGGAATGGTTCTACCATAAAAGAGGTATCCAGCATTGACTACACTCAAGTTTTAATCATTTTTACAACATGTTGCAAAAATCTTCTGTTAGAGAAACTGTCCTTACCACGGCCAGAAAGACTATAGGTGTGCGTGTGTATGTCCGTATAAATATATAGGTATGTGCTTTATACAAACCCACCCACCCACACACACATATAAAAATAAAATCTGCATTTATAGTTACTTCAAATGAAGCTACCTCTCCATGGGATGGGAAAAGCTTCCACAAGCTAACAGTGGTTTCTTGCTTTTGCAGACACACCAGGTTAAGCGTTCAGAAATGGCAACGATAACACTGTGGGAAGGCCAGACACAAATAAATCCTCCTCCTTTAGTGCATAAAGTACTTAAACTAGTACGTCTCCGCACGTTAAACTAAAAAGTCAAAAGGCAAGTCACATCCTCTCCAAAACTAAGCACTGATGATAGAGAGTCGCAGTGCAATGCGTAACTTTTATTTCAGGCTTTCAAGCTTTCATTTTTAATATGATTTTCACTAGACTTGTTTAAATAAATTGCTCTGAGTAAGGGGTGATGTCTTGTTACACAGATGCTGTAACAGACGGGGGAATGAATTGCGATTCACACAGAACCCGCTCCTCAGAAGCTTTTCTGATTCTTAATTAAGTTCCTGATGTTGCCGGCCATTCTCCGTTGTTGCTGAGATCTACGTCTTCTGACCTCCTTTTTTAGAAAAGTATTTTGCTGAGGGAGATAAGTTCTATCCCTTAAAAAAGATGGATAATGAATAACTAATGTTTCAGCTCTTCTCCAGGTTTACCTGGTAGCTGAAACTGCTAACTGTAACCCTTCTTCATAGTAGGTTCCCACATTAACATAAAAGCATGAAATTGCAACATGTTTCTTCTCAGTTTCAAAATTAAGCCTGCTTTCACCAGATTCAGCCTGTTCCACGAATATGATTCTAAAACTGCTAATAAATTTTTTCAGTTCAGTTCAGTAATTTAAACACTCCTTATAATGCCTTTCATGTAATCAGTCAAAGACAAAGGTAATGCTAGAATTTCTATATTGAATATGCCATGAAAGCCTCATATTGAATGATCAATCAAGAATAATAAAATTAAGCAAGTAGTAAAGTGACAGTTCATCTATCCTGAATCTCAAAAATATTTCTTCCTTTTCACAGTAAAACACAATGTTTGTAGCCCAAACAACACCTTACTGACCTGTTTGGTGCAGGTGATCTCTAGCCAGCTCAAATAAACGCATATGCATATTTGTGATGGGGTTAAAGGAGCCACAAGCTAGGAGAATGAGAGGTATCCTGCTCTTCATTCTGACATCAAAATATTAATGCTCCACCCTAAGGGGAAAAAAAATTAAAATAAAAAAAGACAGACTTCACAGAGAGTAGTCTTCCCACTGTTCCTCAAAGTAAATGGAACGTTATTTCCAGAACCGTGTATTCTTGGAACCCTAGCGAAGTGTCCCTGTGTTGTCAGGGCACGCAGAAAGTACTAACTCAGAAACACGTGTGTTCTTTCGGATTAATTAGGAGAGCATCAGCAAATTCTGTTTCCTCGTATACAGAAATAGCAGGAAAATAACGTTTCTAGAAATTCATATTGTTTCCGATCACTATTATCAGAACTGACAGTTTTAAAATTCTTCTTTATTTTTGGCCTGTATTTTTTGGCTCTTTTGTAAGAAAACAATGCCTCATGCGGTCTTTCTTTCAATCTCCTATTAATAGCTTTGGAAGCTGTAGGCTTGTCACATTAGCAGAAGTTTATTTTTTAAGTTATTACAACAGACCGTTGCAAAACATGACTTAAAACAGACATGCAACACCCAGATCTACAGCTCTGACTTCCTCAGAAGTGGGCACAGGGTGGCTGGGTGGGCAGCCAGCACGTTACTTCTATTCCGATTATCAGCAATAGCCTGCACTGTTTCTTTCTTGGGTGGCAGATCAAGCGATGGTGCATCAACAATAGGGAAGAACAAGGAATTATAGCTGTTGCAAGAGAACGCAGGGAACAGTGAAAAGCTATGAGTATGAGGTGAAGGGGTGGGGAGAAACGCTGTTAGGGGCCTTGCAGGTGGGTTTACAAACTCATGTAATTTAGTTAAAACGCCAGTCATCTCAATACAAATCCAGTGGAAATCAGGTTGCCTCTGTGCTTGGAGATACTTGCATAATTCTTCTTGCAACTGATACAGAATAGGTCAGCCATAATAAAAACAGTTGTGTCCCATGTACGTAGCTGTGATTCTGATTTTTAGATCAGGCTCCCTTCTTTTCTGCCTTTTGAAATTACCTCTACAATGCCAAAACCCATATGCCGTACATATAGCCATTCTTCACTTCTCTAGCCTCTAGCCCTCTCCATTAAGTCTAACAGTCCATACTGGCCACTCTCCTGCAGAAGACTTTGCATCCCAAACTCAGGAAGTCTGTCATGGGCCTAACTGACTCCAATAAGGATTCCCTGTTCTGCTTAGCCAAATCCCCTTCTCTAGCTGGAAGTATACCAAAGCAGTGTAGGTCATGGCCCACCTCTCAGTTATATTCCCTTATATTCCTTATATTTTAGCAGAAGACGTACACACACACACACACACACACATATATATATATAGTCCTTATATTCCCTGACTTCACAGACATTTACCAGAGACAGCTTCTCCTTAGCTTTAACAGCTCGGTCTCACATTTTCTTTCTCTAGCCAAAGAGCTTCTCTCCTCCTCTTGGCAGTGACTCAGGACTGATGTTGCATCCCTACACTCCTTAGGGGAGTTAACAGACAGAGGGAGGAAGGAAGTGGGGGTCAAACCCTGAAGAGTTTCCACTAACACAGTCTGCAGCCAGTAGTCACTCCTATTAGTTCAAAGTAAAAGTTACTCTCCTGTGGATGACAGACTACCAGGGATAAAAGGGTGGGAGGGGGACAAAAGAGACAAAAGTCCAGAGAAACCAAGACTAGGGTGAAATCGTCTTGAATTCACCTTGCTTTGCATACCTTCCAACCTCCACTCCCCCAAGATACAACCTGTATTGTACCAGGCAGCCTCCTCCTACTCTTTTAAGGACTTCTAAAGTCAGGAATTATGTTCAGGATAATTATGCTGACACCCGATTGTTGTAATTGGCGACTATCATAATGTAGGTGGGGATTTGCTTTAAAGAGTAGTTTAAATAACTAATTTTAATCATGAATTAAATTAGCAAAATTTTTACTCTGATTAAAATAATCCTAAGTAAAATAACGTATTTTAATCTTCTGTTGCATGTACACATTGGGTTATTGTCTTTGAGAAAGACTAATTACCACTGGTTGTTTGTCTTGCAAACGCATGAATTGTTATCTATTTACATCCTTTAGAGTAAACTTACTTTATGCTAACTATGAAGATACTCTATACTTATACACATCTATTATATGCTCTTCATGTATTTATTCAGGCCTTTTTTTCTGCATTACAGTAACATTTCTTATTTACTGAACAACTTATTCTGTGGTAATGACATATCAAACTGCATTTTGGGTGGAAACGAGAACTCAAATAAAAACATAAAAACATTTTAAGATACATTTCCATTAGCTAAATACACTTACCTTTAATACTAGAGGGGAAAATAGGTTATCAGAATGAATTCTGCATTTAAAACTATTTATTAGCTAGTAAAGAAAACATTATGTAGTTAATTAACCAAATTGATAAACCTCATCATCTTGCATGTAATTTTTTACTCAGCTTAAAAGAAACAGAAAATTTTCATATTTCTTTTCCAGGTGATTTTAAATAAGTGATTTTTTTGCATTAATATAGTGGAGTAAGTTTCAATGAAGAAAAATTAGGTTTCCATGTGAAGAAATATCTCATTCACTGGCTCAGCAACATTTGTTCTAAGAGTCCCATAAACAGGTGACCTTGTCAAATTCAGCTTTACAAAAATGACAAAAGCAAATATGTTCTATTTGAAAATTGTATTTAAATTAAATGGAAATAGGTTGTAGTAAGTTTAGGCTTAAATTCTGTTGATCTAAATTAGAGAGGGTTTTACTTGCTTAAAAATATTACCTTTTTTTTCCTGTTCTTACTTAGAAAACTTCAAAAATAATGGTTAAAACAAAGTCAAGTTGTTTTATAGTTGCAAACTCTATTAGTTCACTTACTTACAGAATTGACTTTAGCATATATAACTGAAGACCAGGAACTCTACTGTTTAACAGCATTCAGTGTACCCAGAAACAAGTTTTAATACTTCCCTTTGTAAAATGTTGGCAGCTTGCAAACTCTCTGCAGAGAAAATTATTTGGAGCATACAGCCTATCTATGTGTTTGTCATCCAGTAAAGAATAAACGTATGAAGATGCTTTTATGATTTTTTTAAATTTTATTCCTCTCTTATCTCCCATCATACTAAGGCAGAAGTAACAGACTTATAGAATATAGAGTAGAATACAGAGCAGAAAAGACAAGACTCTGGTTTGAGAGCCATTGAAAGTCAGCAGCAATTTTATGATCATAACTGGATAGTGTAAGGATAAGGAAACTGTAGAAAGTATCCTTTACAGCAATCTCTCTCTGCTCTGGTTTACTAGCCTTGTACAGACATTAACAAACTCATACATGAAGGCTGTATGGAAACTTTACAGGTTCTTTCTTTGGAAAAGTCAAACTCAGCACAAAGTCATCTTCTATTTAATATCCACAGTTCTTTAAAGGCATCTTGATTTCATTGGGATTTTTAGCTTGAAATAGGTAACAACACATTAATATCTGTAATTAACTGAAAAAGCAATTGCTGCCAGGACATGCCAGTGTTCTCCTGCAGTCCCAAGTATCTGCTAGATGAATTCTGTTGCCTCGGGGCTGTACTCTCAGTGATAAATCGATTAATTCTAGACAAAGAATTTCCTAGAAGCAGAAGTAACTGTAATAACATTGCTCAGCACCCATCCCTGCAGATTGGCTTATATGGTCTTATATGACAACCTAAAATCAACAACACATTCCTAAAACCTTACCCAAAGGCCAAGCAGTACCAATCAGCACCCCTCTCATACACGTACCTATCTGTTAATGGGGGAAAACACCCACCCCTTGTTCCCTATACTGCTGCTTCAACAGTAGCACTAGCTCTCACGTCTCCTTGTTGATGGTTCAGGTATGCTCTCTGTTCTCTTCTGGTTAAACGTAGCTTACATTTCTGTGCTTTCCTTTACCGTCTTAAAAGTTATAAACTGAATCTTTTGTTTTGTTTTGTTCTTTTTTAAACAACCTTCTCATTCTATAGACTTCACTCATTCTCACCCGAGAAAGATGCCCTGGATGGTTTGATTGCAGCTCTCACTCATTTATACCTCAGAGACTCTACGGGAAGGCTTCTAAATCCTGTAATTCTTAATGATAACTAGACAGTACTGCTAATGGAAACTCAAAAAGAAAAAAAAAGGAAGAAGAAAAGAAAAATTCAAACCAAAAATACACTACCACTAAACATGCAGTAGAGGCATTTCAAAAGATATTTTATACATACACACATATAGAAAAATATGTATAAATAGATATATAAACAAAAAGCAAAACAGCAGTGTTTTTATTCCTACTGTCCCCTATGCACTGGGATTTCAAACAAACCTTCCAGGTTCAACTGCTTTCTCTCTCCTTGATTGCCTATCCAAAATAGGTAAAATTTTCCATGCTGCTTAGAAGACTAGCAGGTTTAGATCACTCCAAACTGGAGAGGGTGGAAAGATGCATCCCTAATGCAGTTTTTGGTTCTTTTCTTATTTTCAGTTGAAAAAGAGGAGTCCTGGAAAAGGACCCCAGCTGGACTAAACTCTCTAGGTATTTTCTTCCCTTCATTTTGATTGTGAGGTTCTTCTCTGAGAATGTTTTAAGATTTCTTTTCCCCAAACACCCTACACACATGCACATCTTAAAAAAAAAATAAATAAATAAATAAAAGTTATGCAATTTCCCTTTTCCTCCATTTATTTTTTTCTAGTAGAATCCCAGTACATTTTCTGGTTTCCCTTATAGCTACCAATGTATGCTGCATGCCACAAGGAGGAGATGCCTCCCTGCCCACAGCAGTCTTACCATTTGAGTCTAGCCACATACTAGTAAACCTAAAATGCCTCAAGTGAAAGCAGAAGAAAACACTTCAAACCAACCCACTGTTTAGGAAATAGCCCTGATTTAGCAGTAAGATGAGCTGACCTAATGGTGATCCCCCAACATAAAATGACACATACTTGGATTTACAGTAACTGAGCCCACCAGTGCTGACACACCTCGTGGAGCCCTCCACACTGAGAAATCAGCAGC